GAGGTTGGATATATATGTCCTGTTAAATTGCGACATTATAGAAATGAATAGCATATGGGCATGGGTATCATTTTCAATATAATGGAAGACACCATGAAATGTTATAAAATGAGGATTTGTCTGTGCTTCTTGATTTAATGTATCATCACAACTTAAACTTCATGGTTTTTATTCATTACTGAGGTCTGTTTTTTGTGTATGGACATTTTATGGTTTGAAGATTCTGGATAACATTCTGTGGTTTAGCCACTCAAAATAAATTTAAAGAAAGAAGCCATGAAATGTGCACACCAGGTCTAGAGTAGCCTATATTTCAGACAATTTTTAAATCACCATTATACCACAGATTTCAACTAAATATTTCTAAAATTGAATTGATTAAATTTATAACAGAAAATGTCATTGTCATTTTTGGCGGCGGCGTCCCCCCCCTTTTTTTATTTAAATTATTATTTTTTTTTTTTTAACATTTAATTGTCTATGACCCAGTGTTATTGGTGGGTTGGTGGGTGAAGCAAAGTATGTTGTGTTGTTAAGAATGGCCATAGCAATAAGCCAAAGCCACTACAGGCCTACTTTCATTAGGCTATTCATTTACTTCATTTTAAATTGTTATTAGACCCCTATAAAAGTTTTTTAAATGGAGATTAATTAAAGTATTTAATGGCAAATAACTATTATTATTCTCCAGCTCTTACTATGTCTTCAAATAAGACAACTTTTAAAGGGTGAGTTGATAAGTCTTGTCCTTACAATACAATCAAATTAGAATTGAGTTGTGCAATGGACATTTAGTTATATAACCATAATTAAGATGGGATTTAAATTGTTGTCTAATTATTAAACAAATCTTCAATACTTTGAGTATTTTCCTTTTTTGGATCTGCATTGCCTATTTGTCAAAATTTCTCTGATAACCAAATGTCTTGAAAACCACTTAGATTGATTAAAGAATTTTGGTATACAATACATTATTAGAAAATATTGACCATACTTTAATTTTTTTCATTTTTTGAATTGTAATTATGCCGGAAATCTTTATAATTTTTTAAATTTACATTATACTCTAGACATGTTCAAAATATCTTGCGCCTTGTAACTAACTTGACCTTATATCTCTTAACAGATTTACCTTTAAAAAGCCAGGTGTAGGTTCAAGTCCAGCTGTAACGCCATTGTTGAAGCCAAATGATTTAACTCTCCATAAATCTGCTCTGGTAACAAATAGTCAACAGGGCCAAGCAACAAGGATAGCACCCATCTTACAAACAACACCTGTTACCAAGGTTAAAATTAATTGATATGAAATAAATAATCATACCATGGAACCTTGGTGCTTATCACTGATTAGGTTTGTTGTAGTAAGTTGAAATTGAAAAAAAAACAACTAAAACCAAAGCTATATGTTAAGTTCAGTTATTACTGCAACTGAAAGTTTTGAAAAAGTTTCAGGAAATTTAAAACGTAGACCAATTTTTTGGATGAACCACCACATGTATTTTACTTTAAATAAAAAAACAAACAAAACCCTTATGAAATAAAAATGAAGGCAGACAAATATCAAGGTTCCATTGCACTTTGAATTTGATTAAAATTAACAAATGAAGTGAATCAACATTTGCAAAATTCCTTATCTATTGACTGACCATGGTATATGGTATATACTTGTCTATAATTCGATTTTGTCTATATCTCGAGGGCCGTTTTTTTTTTACCAACAATTAGGAAATATGCTATGACTTGTGGATAAGTTGAGGGTAAAACTTGGGGCTATGAAATTCTGTGATTATTATAATTTTGTCAGATTTTACCCACCAGCAATCTCTGCACTGTATACTAACTTATGGTCGCGTCATTATTCTTACCCTCTCTCGCATTTGGTGGTATTAAGCGACATTCTCGTAATCTATATCAGTGTCCTCTCTCCTCCATACAATAGAGGCTGATAGACTCAGCTGTCAACAATGACGCATGTGGCTTAGTCTCAGATTTCAATCAAGCATCAACAGCTGTTTTTCTCTCTGTGTGTGTACCTGGTATCTGGGTCAACCTAGAGCTACCTGTATGTACACTAGCGCTACTGGTAACTGGACATTACCCCGCTTTCAAAGTACAAAATTCTATCAAAACTAACACCGACCCATGGATAAGTCAACTCTGCATTTTAAAATTAATTTTATGACTAAAATTTCTCGATTTATGTAGGAGTATAAATGGTAATTATTTATTTTAAATTTGCTTATATTTTGAATCCTCAATTTTAGGTTGAAACTGTACAGACATCCATAACTTCTTTTACAAAGAATAAACAAGTTGCAGCTATTTTGCCCCAGAGGTAAGTAGAGATCAATCATAAGTTACTATTTATTTATATATAAATTAAAATAAATTATTAAAATAACTTTTGGATGGTTTCCAGTAAAGTGTTTTTGTTTTTGTTACTAAGTTAGCTTGAATCAAATAAAATTACTAAACTTGTTTTAATTAATACAATATAAAATGAAAGCATTTTTCTTACATATTTTTATTTATCTTTTTCTCTCCTTATTTCATTTTAAGATCACATCAAAATGGTGAACCAGGTCTCAGAAAAAATCAGCCATCTAATAAGACTGTGGAGTCTGTAGAGATTCCAATAGAAATATTTGATGATGATGATGATTTTGCTCCTCCGGTGTTCTCTCAAAGCAAGTATTGATTTTATTGTGTGAAAAAGCCTGATGGCAAACTGAATTCTTATGTGGCCCTTCCCTTGCTGACTAGTTCTGTCCCCCAGAATATACCAAAATGTTTCATGATCAGGCACTAAAACCCTTGAGTTCCCTTAAAGAGTATCTAACAAAGATAATAATACACACAAAAAGTTAGTTGATTGATAAAGTTTAAGGCCATGTAGGTATTAAAAAAACATATAGATTTATGAAAGTTTGATAAAAGTGGTAGAACTTTATTTTATTTTTTACACTGGCAGGTGTAATAATAAATTTGAAATTACCCTTTTGCTTGATGAATTTAAAAATAAAATTTAATGCTCAGTTTTCTTAAGATACTTGAACTTGATCAATTGTTTTTACCATCTCATCCTATCTTAAAAAAAAAAGCCCACTCTTGCTAAAAATAGTTTTTAATTTAACAAAAGTGCTCAAATTTGTCAGTTCACCTTCAGAATTTAAATGTATGTTTTTGTTGGGATAAGCAAACTAATTGTTTATTTAGATTTTAAAAAATGGTTTTCATTTAGGCAAATCTTTATTTTACAAAATTGAAATTAATTGGTTAAGTCAAAACCTCTACGGCAAGACTGTCATCTTTTTCACCAATTTATATAAAATTTCTTTTTATGGATACTTCTTAATCTTCTTATTTACTTATATTTCACTCTTATTTATGTTTTATTCAATTTTATATTTCACTGAAGGAATGTTATTTCAGTTTGATTATTGCATTTTAATTTCAGAGACCCCCAAAAAACTATCAAAGAACATTTTAAAACCCTCCTCAACAACCAGGAAACATAACAAGGTTTGTTGACTAATTTCTGCACTAGGGAGCGATAGATACAGACCAGTTTACCCTCAAAGTCTTAAAATCGTACAATATCATTACAAAATCGTTCAATACATTATCTTAATAGTAAAAATTAAACATACAGTGTATTGTTACACACTGGCGTCTATTGTGAGAAATTAAGCTCCTATTTTAAATTTATGGCTCATTCAAACAGTTCCTAACAAAGGACGATACCATAGAAAAATAAAATAACAAAAGTACGACACCCAAAGCAGTACCAATTACAATTAATAAGATTTAATTTAGTAATAATACAATTAAAAAACAAAAGAAATATCATTACAAATCATCAACTTACAGTATGGTAGATCTTGTACCGGTACACAGTAAGTACAATGTGCCAATGAATAGTGATGAATGATCAATGCGAATAAACACATTTAAGTACACAAAGAATAATACACGTCTCGTGAAGTTAAAAATATCTATCAATCTCCATCTCTCTCTGTGCCTGTCAGTCCCTTATATATGTGGGTCTACCGACGCGTCTAGAAACGCCCTTACTTTTCTAATACAATCGAGAACCTTCGACAAGATACTAGTAGACCTACTAACCATGTTTAATTGGAAGCCGGTAGTAAACAAATTACATCAAAGAGATTTAACCACGCCCACAACAAACGTTACTGTCTGCTAGGAGTCTATTGTGGGGTCAAAGAAAGTTCACGCACGGGGAAAAAGTGTACTACATAACAATATATAATGTATAAACCTCAAAATCCTACATAGTACGCCAAAATCGTAAGAGTAAACAGGTCTGGAGATAGCCAAACTCTTATATTTTACCAATAATTCTGTATTGAAATAAAGCTAAATTTCATATTCCCTGTACCATTTTTAACAATTTCAACTTGCAAAAGGGCACTTATTCTGCAGATTAAACCTTTTAAAAATTGTTTGCAGAAACCTGAGGAAATTGATGATGAAGTTATTCTTGGAACACCTGAAAAAGTTAACCAACTGAAATATGTATGTTTTTATTATATTAATTAGCTGAGCTGTCCCTAATTGCCTTTAATTATGTGTCCGGATGTGTCCGGCATAACATTTTTAATTTATTTGGTTTTAGGAATTAATGTGATAATAGTTGAATGATCCATTATCTAACAAAAATTTTTTTTTCATAAGGCTGATTCTGATGAAGAGCTGTGGCCTGGGCCAAAAAGACTAAAAAGAAAATATGTCATTGACAGTGATGATGATGATATTTATCCAGTCTCTAAATGTGAAAATTCCGGACTGCCTAAAGGTAAGCTTAAAATTAAAACAGTCTTACAATGTGTCTCATTGCTCAGGTTTTGATTTATTAAACTTTATTAATTTTAATACCTTTTTTGACCAAAATTTTTTTTAATGCTTAATTATGTTTCAATATTTTTGAAGCAGGTGAAACTGAAATTAAAAGATCCAATGAGCAGCATGCTCCCTTGTTAACAGATATTTGTCAGCACCCTTTGCTTAAAGGAAATAATCTTTCTACTGTAAGAATTTTAATTTTATTCAATATAAGGATAGTATTAGTATAAGAAATAATTTATTACAGTCAAAAAATTCTGGCCAGCATAGTTATAAATGTTATTTGGTTAATAAGATACATTTAAAAAAATTGTATCTAGTGTCTAGGGATGTAAATCAACTGATGTTTATGTATTCTTCGTAGGCTGCAAATAGTGAGCTACTTTTGTTAAGAGACATCCTGTTACAAGTAGCTGATGAAGTTTGTGAAATAGTTTGTCAGATCAAGACAGGGGATTTAATGAAATTTGTGTCTTCTGACCATGAACGGCTCCAAAAACTTCTGCTTGTAAGGTTGGTACAAATTTTGTATGATCATCACTTTTTCAAAACTGTTTTCATTAATATTTTATTAAATTATGCTTTTAAAAATATTCTTCTTCTTATAAATTAAATGCCACTGTTTCAAATTTCAATATTTTTTCTATAGAAAACAGATTAAAGATATTGGGATTATAGATGTGGGAAAACCGTTAAAGGAATCAAACAGATATCAAAGTAACCCTGCAGCCATGATTCTTTCAACATCTAAAAAGTTTGAACAGCGAGAATCGGCATCAAGGGGTAACTCAGTGCTCAGCTCTGCAGCAACACCTGTCATATCATCTAAATCTTCTAACTGCTTAAAATCTGAGCCCAGTATTGGGTTAGGTAAAAAAACGCCTGCTAGTTCTTTGACAACAAATAAACAGTCACCAATTCCATGTGGGGAAAGCTTTTTTGATAGCCCATGCATGTTCACTCAAACTCACAGAAACTATATAGATAATACAGGCAAAAGGAAATCAGATTTTTCAGAAAAAGTTAACAGATTGGAGATCACTTGTGATTTGAATAGAGGTAATGAAAATAATAGAAAGGATGAAACAGCTTACAACAGAGGCAGAGGGCAAAATAATCTCACCAACTTAATCAATAGTGAAAAGGATCACAAAAGTATTCCAACCTCTTCCTTAAATCTGGGGATCTGTAAAGTAAACACCAGTCCAAACTCCAATCCAACTGAAGATGTCAGGAAAAACTTAGACTTAGATCAGTCTTGGCAGAGTGCTTCTGATCTTTATGACAGAGACTTTGAGGATGAGATGGAAGTAGCAATGGCCTATGATGCGGATGACATGGATGAGAATTCAAGTTTGAAAAGTCCTTCAAAAAGCTTAAATAACAATCAAGGCAAATTTAATACAATGAATAGTAATGGTAATAGTAAATTGGAAAAAAGAATTACTCAGAGTAATGACAGTGTATCAGATAATAATAAAAATATCAAAGAACAGCATGAAAGTTTTGTGAATTCGGAGGATAAAGTGTTCGATGCATCTGGGTATAAAGATTTTGGTCAACCTGTAGAGTCACGAGAAAATAAAAATCTTAAAGGTAATATATTATATCGTTTAAGCTAAGTCGTTCTTTCACTTTTGTTTTAACGATTGCAAGCTTATTTTTATTTTGTTACTTTGTAAGAGCTTACTGTCAAATAATTTCATTAAATCAAGTGACACATATTATGTTGTTTATTTTTGTGTCTGCAAGTGAAAACATTATAGTATTACCTCACCCCTATGAAAGCATTTTAAAGCAATCACATTTTTAAACTCATCCTTAGTTTTGTAAACCCAATCATTATCTTTCAGATTACACTCCAGTGTTCAGCATTAGTGATCGTGATGATGGTACGACACCAGAGTTTGCGGGAGTGAACTTTGACCACAGCAATACATTATGCACAATGTTTAGACAAGTTTTTGGTTTGAAAGAGTTCAGACATAACCAGCTCCCTGCTATAAATGCTGCACTTTTGGGACATGACTGCTTTATCCTTATGCCAACAGGTGAGCTTTCCATTTTACATCAATTTTGTTTCCTCTTAACTACCATTTTGTTGACTGTTTAATATGTTAATCCTTTTAAAATTGTGAAAACATGATAGAATTGTAATTTAGAATGTTGAAAATTTAAATTAAGATATTTGCACTAACAAAGTATGTACTATTCCAAATTATCCACAATTAGTAATATCTAATATTATTAAGAAATTGTCTCTGTTTTAAGACTTAAAAGAATCGTCATAAATCTTCACTGTAAGTTATAAAACACTATCATTCCTCAAATAATAATAATAATAATAAAATGATATCGAAATTAAGCAATGTGATTTATTTTTGCTGCATAATTAATTTTTTTTGGTATACAAAAATAAATAAATAAAGAAATATTATCATAACTTAAAAGGGGTTACAAGAGATAATAAAATAAACAATTCTGATCATTTTCAGTTTACAGCTTCTTAAATTTTTCTTACTTTGAATGGCCTTGACCTCCATCATATAATTTTTATATGATACAATTATGTTAGGTGGTGGAAAAAGTCTCTGTTACCAGCTTCCCGCCATAGTTACAAATGGAGTGTCTATTATCATCTCACCTTTAAAAGCTCTTATTCAAGATCAGACTCAAAGGCTTTTGTCATTAGATGTAAGTTATGTGAATTTATAGAACAGTGCTACTCAAAATGGTTTGCCGGTCCGCGGGCCATCATCCTCCGGTCCGGAGAGCATCAATATTGATGTTTAAATAAAAAGAAAATGTAATTAATAAATCTGGCACCGGTCCCTGGTGCAGTTTCGAAACTTGTCCACCGGTCCGTGAAAATTAAAAGTTTGGGAAACGCTGTTATAGAAGAACAAAGACTTTTAAAATTAAATTGCTTTAAAATGCAAAGAAATGTTTCATACCTTGAAAATTAAAAAAAAAATAAAAAATTCTGATTAAAATTGTTTCTTACATTTTAAATACATTAATGAACTGAGTTTTATATCATAATATTAAATTTAACTAGATACCAGCAGCACACTTATCAAGTGAAGCAGATTCAGGTCAAAGCCAGTCAGTCTACAGTGGCCTTCACCAAAGGAGTCCTGCCTATAAATTGCTATATGTAACCCCAGAAAAGGTATTGGTGCTTTGAGAAATGTGTACATTTTATAAACCAAGTTTTATTTCTTTAGAGCTGACAAAAGTTTTCTCTATTGTTTGATTCATCAATTACTTTGATATTGGTTATAGTTTTAAAATTAAATATGTACGACATAGTAAAGTGGTACATAAATATTTTATTGTAATTAGTAGATTTATTGAACAATTGGCTGAAATCGTCACAAGTTACTGTAGTAAATATTTTTGCAGCTTTCAGCAAGTGAAAAGCTTCTCAACTGCCTGGATAATTTGTACAGACGCAAACTTCTGAATCGTTTTGTCATTGATGAGGCTCACTGTGTCAGTCAGGTAATTTGACTGAGCTTGTTTGAGCTTGTTTTTTTGAAAGAATTATCATAATTGCAAAAATATAAAAAATTGTTCAATGCATGGAATAAAATATTTGTTTATAAGACATCTTGTCATAAAATAATGGCTTTTTTTTTTTTTTTCCTAGTGGGGCCATGACTTCCGACCTGATTACAAAAAATTAAATGTGCTGCGCCAGAGATTCCCGGGAGTTCCTATGATGGCTTTGACGGCCACAGCAACACCTCGTGTCCGTAAAGATATTATTCATCAACTTGGCATGTCCAACCCAAAATGGTAACTATATAAATTGTTTAAAATAAAAATACTTTCTTTAACCCTTTGAACCATTGGCTCCTGGGCCTAAAATACCCATGCTCCTGGGGAAAAATTCCACAAACTGACCCAGAATCAAACAAGATCCAATTATTGTGAATGAAATTATTTACATCCCCTATACATGGTTGCACCCCCTATTCATGGTTGCACCCCTTATACATGGTTGCAGCCGCCTTCTATATGCTTTACAGCGAGATAACAAAAAATCTACTGCAGACTGGCATTTCCACCTTATCGCTACCAGAGAGATGCAATTTAAAAAAATTTTAATCTAAATTTGTCTATTAGTAGTCCACAAGTGTTAAATTATCACACAAAGAAAATTGTCTTAGAAATGGTGTAAAATAGCAAAGTAAAAGTTTATTTATACAACCCTGATTTTTCATAAAAGCCAGGGCTAAAACTAGGGGTAGATCATTTGTTGTGTCTTTTATTCCCAAAGCACTAATCAATAGCACTAGTAGTTGAAGTCAATCAATCATCACTATCATCGTCTATTTGCTTTATTTCAATCCTTTTTCAAAACGTGATCATAATCCTTTGAATCATTTGCAGTATCATAAACCTGCTCTGGTTTGAGTGGTTCAGAATAGCAATTTTTGCATTTTTCTTCACCTCTATGCATCGTAAAACATTACTAACACGTAATAAAAAAAACAATGCATTCATGGGTGCGGCCATTATGGTGACCTTTTGCAAGTCATGGGATAAACCCTGAACTCCCTATTTACAACACATTTTATGTACTGACTGTTGATCTAGGGTTAGGTGTGGCAGACCGAAATATCAGTCTGGCAGGGTGTGGATTTTTAATGCACAGACCGATAAAGCGGGATCATGGGGGTCAAAGGGTTAAAGAATAAGAAATCGAACAGGATAAATAGGTTTACAGACCTGTTTACCCTCAAACTCTTAAAATCGTACAATATCATCACAAAATCGTTCAATACCTTATATTTAGAGTAAAAAATATGCAATACAGTATATACATTTACACCTCAAAACCGTACATTGTACGCCAAAATCGTAAGAGTAAACGGGTCCGGGTTTATTAATTGAAAATTCTTATACCTGATTAAAACTCATAATTTTCTTTCAGGGATTATATACACATATTTATATCTTTGCCTATCTATATCCATATAATTGATACTAGATTTTATATTTGTTTTCAGGTTTATGCAAAGTTTTAATCGACCAAATCTGAAGTACAGTGTACTAAACAAAAAGCGCTCTAATGCAAGATCTTATATCATTGAAATGATCAAAGCAAGATTCAGCAAAGACAGTGGAATTATATACTGTTTATCCAGGTAAACCGGTACTGTTGTTTTTAATGTCGAAATAGGTTTCATAAAAAACTTTTAGAAATAAATTTGAATCACTTTGTCAGCAGTTTTTTTTCCTTTTTTGCTGAAATTAACTTAAACTTTTATTTTTCAGAAAGGATTGTGATGACGTTGCTGCTGATCTGAGAAAAGCTGGTGTACAGGCAGAGCCTTACCATGCTGGCTTGGATGATCCAACAAGGGCTAAAGTACAGGAGAGATGGTTAAATGATGAGCGGTGCAAGGTAATCTAGATTTATATTATTGAGAACAGAAAGTGTATCCCTCAAGTTAAAGTAGGTTCTCAGACCTGTTTACTCTTACAATTTGGGCGTACAATGTACGATTTTTAGATGTCTTTTACGATTGTACGCCAAGACCCGCCAAAACTACGATTTTTCAGAGACCCAGTGAAAAAATATTTGTGTAATTTTGTCAGATTTAAAAAAAGTTAACTAAATTTTCGGTTGTGGAAGCTTTAACCCTCATAAAGATCTGACGGTGAATGAACCGAGAAAAACGATTGGTTGTTGTTGTTTTTTTTTTTACGTTGGGAACAATCCTTCATCATATAATGTACACACTGAGAGGGGAGGTGGGGATTGTTAAGGAGACTGGTGGCATGAGAGAAACACAGGTAGGGGGATAAGGTGGGATTGTCAAAAGATATACAAAATATCCCGCAACGCATCCTATTGATGGTGGTGACCGTCATCATGTTGCTTTGTGTGTTCAAGTGAACCAGCTAGCTGCGTCAACAGCAATCTTTAGACTAGTCGCCTGGCGACAACTTCACTCACCATCCCCTTGGACTTCTACTGCTAGCAAGCGTGTGTTCGTCTAAACCACGGTGGTGGTGAAAATAGAGAAAACTAGAGATGTAAGATTTAGTCAGCTGCATTTAAAAAGATATTTTAGAACTCACAAAGCACCTCTACCCCCTCAACGATTTTAAGACAATACCAGTATCACTATTGCTGCAATCACCTCCCACACTTTTTTTTTACAGCTTGTGGCAGTTAATAGTCTATTATACTATAGCAGTGGTCGGCAAACCGCGGCTCGCATGCGGGTTCATGAAAATAAATTTGGCTTGCAAAATTTGGTTGATGGTCCTGCTGCTGATTTTTGGCTCTTTTGACTAATGAGTTTTCTGACCACTGCTCTATAGGATGTTAACGTAAAAAATCAGGTGTATATTGGATAGGCGAGGGTACTATGTTTTTCCTATTAATGAGGGTGGGGGAAGGTGGGTTCACCAGCACCGAAAGGCGTATTAGTGGACTACAGTGTGTCGTCACTATATCGTGTTAAATATGACTACTACAGCGACCTCTTTATGAAAACACAAAGCATTAGTATAGGATAACTGCGAAACATTGTGGTGATATTTGTATAGCCTAAATAATAATAATAGACCTAATTAGAATTTGTGGATTTCACAGATTTGCATGTGACAGTTGACTCTATAAGAGACTGTCAGGAATCAGAATAATTATTGTAGGATTTATGCATACATGTAGGTGCATTCTGGTGCTCCCCCCCCAAAAAAAAAAATAAAAACTCATACGCATCCCCAGCGAGTAAGTAATATTTTGATGGCCCTTTACGTTGACAAGATGCGGCTGGGAGAGGGGGTATGAATAATTTTTAACATTTTAATTTTAAATGTTATAGATTGGTTGTCCAAACAGCTCTGGTGTTCGAAATAGGCTGCATTGATGTATATGCACATTGCGCGATTATAATGTTACCATTAGGCTATCATTAATGGAATCGGTGATCATTTTTGTTTTCGGTTCCGTAGTTTACCTTACTCAGTATTTTACGATATGACCTCGACAAAAAGAAAGGCTCGCGTAATCGATTATGAAGAAGAAACTTCTATTTCTACCGATAAACATCAGATTCAACAAAAGAAAAAGAAAGTTTATCAGCAGATAGTCTTGCTTGAATATCAGACAAAATTTACAGAGTTGCGTTCATCATCGAATGGTCCATCATGCGCTCACTGCACAATCTGCAAGTCGGACTTTTCATCAGCAATCAATCAGGGACAAAAAAGTTGTGGTGTGGATTTAGGAGATTGTGTGTATGGCGTAGGTCTAAATATATCAATCTATACAATCAACACCACGACATTTCTGTAATGACAGTTGTTGTTTTGGGGGGGGGGGGGGCTGTTCCTCCGTAGAAAGAACGTTACGTTATTTAAAAAGTCTACAATATTCATCTCCAAACTCTGAAAGTTCAAAAATAGCATTCTATTTATATCTCGCATGCTGTAAAATACCACCCAAAGTATTGTAGCAATTATTGCTGTGATGTTGTCATGATATATTGTCCCCAATAAACTCGCTAGCAGTAGTAGAGAACTTACAGTAATGTTTAGTCAGGGGTGTTCAGCTAGTGTGTGACACATATGTCGTTGGGCTATGCCAGTGGCTCTTATATTTTCATTTCCCAGCGCCTATGCCATTAGTATTAGGTTTTCGCCAGGCTCCCTGGGTGAAATTCTTACAAGTACACTTCGAAATAGGGAATACACAAATAAAATAAAGGGTTAGGTAAAAATAAATATATGGTTTATGACGGTAACAAACATGTAGGTACCTATAGCAGATGCATGTTTTCAAAATGAAGTGACCGCAGTTTGCAGTTAACGTCAGTCGTTATACTGATTACCTTCAGTTCCATTTTTTGACGATCGCTTAACTCGATGCCACTGAACACGCTATACCAGTAGTTACTGCTATATCAGTAGTTACTGCTATACCAGTTGTTACTGTGTACATTATATATTATATATATAAATATATATTTTGAGACAATATTGTACGATTTTAGGAGCTTGTGGGTAAACAGGTCTGGGTTCTAAATGCCATCATGGTCTTTAAATACAGGTACTTTGGTTTTTTTTTTATGGTCTGCTATTTTGTTCTTCAATCAGAAAAAAATTTGATGAATCCTTGCTAATATATTTAAAACAGGATGAACTCAGGATCTATTCTATAATTAAAGTGTATATGTCATGTTAACATATTTGTATATTTTTATACAGGTGATATGTGCCACAATAGCCTTTGGAATGGGCATTGACAAAGCAGATGTCAGATTTGTGATACATTATTCATTGCCAAAATCTGTTGAAGGATATTATCAGGAAGCTGGACGGGCAGGCAGAGATGGAATTCTCTCTTACTGCATACTACTATATGATTATCAAGATGTAAAAAGGCTTCGAAGAATAATAGAAAGTAAGAACATAATGAGAAAAGCCATATTCTAATAAAACAAGGTTGTAAAAAACAAAGCAATTAAAGAGTAACTTAAATATAATTTACACGTTTTTGAGGAATGAATAGTAATTGCTGAATAGTCTGATATTTATTTTTACCAGCTTTAAAAGTATTGGAATGATTAGTTATAAAATATTATTATGGAGTAGGTTTTAATGAAACATTTTAATTCTGACAATTTATCTTTCATGTGTTGAATATAATAGAATGCAATGATTATCTTGAGGAAGCAAGTGGACTGATAATTAAATAACTTAGTTCAATACAAAAATTTAGTTCAATACCATTTATTATTAAAATGAGAAAGTTATAAAGAAAAAATGGTTTTGCTGAAAAATATATATTTGAGAGATTAAAAATCATTAAAAAATTTAAGACCTTAGCCAGCTCATGACTCAAAATGACTTAGTAATGAAGTGTATTCTCTTTGTTTGGTACATCATTTATGCCAATAATAGAGAAAAATAAAGACTTTTAAGATACTAAATATGCTATTATCTTGCAGTGGATCCAAATGCCAATTTTGAATCAAAGCGTGTTCACATTGACAACTTATTTAGGATGATTAACTATTGCGAAAATGTTACTGACTGCCGCAGATGCCAAATCCTCCAGTACTTTGGAGAATGCAGTTTTGAGAGAAACATGTGCCCAACCATAATAGATGCGCTGTGTGATAATTGTGAAACCGAGGCAAGTAAAGCAAATGTTTACATTTCTTATAACTTCATGGCTTAAAATTATATTAAGACTTTCTGTTAGAATGTTTGTCAAGTAAACTTGAAAAATCTTTGACTTAAGGATAGTAATGATAGATTTTTTATATCTAGGATTTATTCAGTCTTCGAGATGTGACAACTGATGCCAAAGAAATTGTGAAGTGTGTCAAAGAACTCAATACATCTAGCCGGGCAAATTACACTCTCATTCACTTTGTAGAAGTTTTCAAAGGTGAATTATGAGGGTTTTATAATAAATATAATTGATCATGTCAAATGAAGGTTTTTGTGATTGTATTACACACTTTTTTTTATGCTAAATTAAATCACAACTTGTTAGCATGAAGTGATTTTACTTTTTTTATCTTGTTGTTATAAATTTATTTTACTTTTTTTCCCTTAAAGGCTCCAATAGTACCAAAATACAGGATTTAGGACATTCTAAATTACCATTGCATGGACGTGGCAAGGGCTGGGCACGAAGTGATGTTGAGAGACTTTGTCGCAAGCTTGTTATAGAAGGAATTTTGAAAGAAGACCTCCAGATCACTGCCGGAGAACATATAGTTTGCTATGTTAAACTGGGACCAAGAGCCGTAGATCTGATGCAGAATAAGCTTAAGGTTAGTATTTACACCATGTTTTTCAGCTTAATAATTTTTTTTACATTTATTTATTCAATTCTACTAAATTAGTAAATTTTTAAAATTAATTTCTTGCCTTTCAACAAAACTGAAAACTCAATCAGAACACTGTATTTGTATTGTAATTACTGTGCCAACAGGTGGAGCTAGCGATACAAGGTGATAGAAAACGAAAGGATTTGTTAAAGGTTGGAATGGAGCTGAAGAACAGCAGAGAGAAACTTGAAATGGACTGTTTGACAGAGCTGAGGGCAAAGGCGAAGGAAATAGGTCGGTGCCCTTTAGCCATTTCTTTCTTTCCAAAATGTATCTGTTCATTTGTTTTCTTATTTACTTAACAGCATATGTCTATTTTCAATTTTTGTTACAGATTTATTTCATAGATGAGGCAATACACTGATATTTTCTTATAATTTAATTATTTTTCTTTTATTTTTTGGTCTTCAATTTAAAAAAATAAAATGCACCCAAAAATGAAAATTTCAAATCATTCATGCATATATGTAGGTTTGGTGAACTGTATAATAACACTTTTTAGTTCCCCCTGGGCAGTCATCTGGTGATTTCGTCTTTCCCAAGGAAGAAAACCTATTTGGTAACAATATTCTTTTACTGATCTGGATCCTTATCTTTAAGATGTTACAGTTGCAACCATTGCTGTATGTCAAATTAAATTTCTTACAATATTTTCAACAGCTGCTGAGCACAATGTTAAAAACTATTCCGTCATCTTCCCTGAGAGTGCACTGAAACAGCTTGCTCACTGCACGCCCATCACTAGGGAGGAGATGATAGACCAAATTGACCATTTCAATGCCGCAATCATAGAGAAGTATCAGGCTCACAAGCTACTGGAAATAACTCTGAAGTACAGTATGGAACTTGCAGGTCCGATTCAAATACTGAATATATTTAATGTAAAGTTAATATTGTTTTTAGCTTTTGTAATAGCTTTGGATGTATGTTTAGTGTTTTCTTTGGAATCATGGAGTTTTAAATGATGCTCTTACATTGAGGACATCATAGGAATCAACCAACACTTATTCACGGCCGCCATCTTGGAAGCAAATGATTCGCCATTTTGTAAACAATTGGGAGGATCAAAAGAACCAATTGAAGACAAGTCGCTTACCTACATAATGATTATCTATGGCCTTGGAAAGAAAAAAAAAGCAGAGAGCACTGTTTGAACAAAAAGTCCAGACTCAAAATGTCAATGTACACCCAAGAACCTACACTCCTCACAGTCACTCTGACCATATGATTCCCATAATGCCGTGCTAACGACCAAGTTTAGGAAGCAGCAAAAACTCAAGACTGAAAACAAGATGTGCAATGTGACCTAAACAAATGTCCATTTATTTGGATCAATAAAAGCATAGTATTTTATTTCTAATATAACAATATAGGATAGAATTGTATTTAATCATATTTCTGACAGCATTTTGTTAGTTTCATTAAAAAATGTGGTACTTTATCATATTTATAAAATTATAGGATTAATATTTCAGAATGTGTTAATTTACTTATTCCAGCACTTGATGATGATAATTTTAATGAAAATGTATCTGCTGATGGATGTTCCTCCCACTACTTTGAAGAGACTTCTTCAAGTGTTCGAGGAGGGAGGGGACGTGGTGGAAAGGGAAACAAGTCTTTTTGGTCAAAAAAAGGGGTAATTACTTTTTTTTTTGATTATCTTAAAAACACCTTTGTTATTCTAAAATTTCAAAGAATTATTTCTATTTTCACTCATTTTTAAACAGCTTAATCTCAGTTTTTTTGTTTTTTTTCATTTTTAAAATCAATAACCCTTTTGCCAGAAGAGATTTTCAATGTAAAATAAGACACCAAAGTAAAGTGACTTCCTTTCTTTTCCACTTTGTTGTTGTGTGGAGCTTGTGCCCCCTGCTTTATTGCTCTCCTGTCCTTTTATTAAATGTAATGTATTGTATTGTGTACAATTTAATAGGGTTTGTCATTTCTTAGACCAGAAAGCGTCATAGCGTTACTGTTTTTAAAACATTGGACAAATATTTCTTAAAACATGACAGCTAATAGTGTGTTTCAGGAAATTGTTCGGACGATCCTTGTATCTAGAGTCAATGTTGCAAGTGCCATACGCGCAATGAAGTCTCATTTCACTAAATAAAAGATTTTAAAAATGTGTAAAATATTCAGTAAATTATAGTTGTAAACAAATTTTGATTTAGGAGCTACTTCTCTAACATAGCAGTACTAAAACAGTGTTGACATTTTGTCAAGCATGCTGAGCTTACTCTAAGAACGCCCCCGCCCCCCCCGATTAGGACATAGGAGTGGTTTAAATGTTGTCTTATTATTAAATCCCAATTATACTATTTATTTGCTTTACACAAAGTGTTCGTTCATTTAAATTACTTAAGCTTTATTATAGTCCAATGCTCTTGGAAAAAGTCCAATTAGCTCATTCTATGCGGGATATAAACTGGGCTAAAACTATTCAGGATGGCTTGAGAAGATCAGTTTGACCATGAATATATTTTTAACAAATGTGTTACTTGTTATTTAAATGCAAATATTTCCTTTAGATTTGATGAATGTTTCTTTCAGATTTGATGAATGTTTCCTTCAGATTTGATGAATGTTTCTTTCAGATTTGATGAATGTTGATGAATGTTTCTTTCAGATTTGATGAATGTTGACGAATGTTTCTTTCAGATTTGATGAATGTTTCTTTCAGATTTGATGAATGTTTCTTTCAGATTTGATGAATGTTGATGAATGTTTCTTTCAGATTTGATGAATGTTTCTTTCAGATTTGATGAATGTTTCTTTCAGATTTGATGAATGTTTCCTTTAGATTTGATCTCATTTCACTTTCAGAGGGGCAAAACCAATAGCAAGAAGAGCACAAGCAAAGGAGTTAAGAAGGCACCCAAAAAACCATCCAAGTAAGTTGTTGTTCATCTACATCTGATGCTCTTAATACATGCACAGTCACTGGCAGTAACCAAAGTATTGGCTGGTTCACTGTCCAAACTCAAGATATAAGGTTACTCGTTGAAAGCTTTCTTTTCACAATATTTGTGTTTACTCTATTCACAGTTCAAATTTGAACCAGTTCCATTACAGAAGAGCCGTTGATACTTCTGCACAGATTTCTAACTTTTCAAGCCCACCATCATTACCATCTAAACCTCGGGGTGTAACGAAAGCAACCCTGGGACTGATGCCTGATCCAAGATCACGTTCATTTCTCTCTTCTTGAGATATGAAAGTTCTTTATGAAAGTTAAAGATGATACTGTATGCTTCTTCCAGAAAGGGACTTAAAAAATATCTTTTTTTAAAATCCAAAATGTTGCTTACATAATAAATTATTGCTGGTCATATCTTTTACAATTAAGACACTTGGTTGCCAGGTAGCATCAAACGTAATTGTAATGTTTAATTTTGAAAATTTTATTTTAGTTATCTTAATGTCACTTTTTTAAAACAGATACATACATTTAAATTGTTGTTATTACAACTTTTTTGTTTATATTATTTAAAATAATCATTTTAAGTAAATTTTAGCATATGAATTACTGTATTAACTTGTATTAAAGAAGGCATACGTTTTTATTCTGTGTAAAATATTGTCATATAAATAAACACATGTTAATAATAAACTATGTTTATGTTCAGTCAGATTACCTCTCACAACTGTAGATTACCATATGAACAATTTAAATTTAAGCACATTCTCAACTGGGTCCTCTATGTACAACACTATTTTTAGCACACATTCTTACAACGACAATATTTTTAGCACATAGATACATATTCTAACAAAGACAATATTTTTAGACATTGATGGATATTTTCTGTTATAATTCACTTGCTGCCCTTGTATACTACATTTCAGCTGTGTTACTTTTATTTAATTCTGTTTTTAATGTCTGTTCGCTGATGAAGGCTTCTTGCAGACACTTTCGTTGTTTTGCTGCTTTCCTTTTTTAAAGTTTCCCCATAACTTTGTTCCACTCATTTCCTTTTGATGGACAAAATACAGAGTTTATATTTATTCATTAAATGTGCACGAAAGAGCATTCATTCCTCTGATGTAGTGCAGTCCCTTGTCCACTCTTGTTAGTTCCACCATACATCAGGTCTCCAGGAATAGGGTCTGTATCCGTTAGGGTTTCTCTTCCAAGTTCCAAGACAATGTTTAGTAATCCGAGGACTTCCCGGGAAACTTTCCCATCCCAGGGACACACTTTTAGAATTAAATTTTTTAAACTTGTCGCTATTAGCCAAAAATTTAAATCGTATAAATTCTTGGAAATGAAAACATTAAAACTAGACTCAAGTATTATGATCAGTGACATATTTGATGCCATAATTTATACTATAACTCCAATTATAAGACAAAAATTAAAATTATCCCCCCCCCCCCCCCCCCCC